AATGCCCACATAGATGAGGTTAAAAGATAGGCAGAGGCAGGGCTAGAGAGATGACTCAGCTGGGAAATTCTCCCAAAGCCATTCCTGAGATAGGGGGACTCCTCTAGGCAGACCTGAGAGCTGGGGACAGTGAGCATCCAGCTCTTCTTGAAGGCGACATGGAACTGAACATTCCCGTCTTTAGGGGAAACAAAGGTAACAGTGGCTGTAAAGAAGGGAGGTGAGGCCAGCTATGCCTCGGGGGCAGCAATGTGTAGGCTGGGGGTGTGGCAGACAGAATCGAGGGGGAGCTGGAAGTCACCAATCCTTGGGCTTCTGACCCCACTGAGAATCTACCCAAGTACAGTGGGGGAAAATGCAAGTGGAAGAGGCTTCAGCATCCTGTCTGTAAAAGCAACTGTGCACTTACTAGTTTAAGTGAGATCAGCATGGGCTGGAAATTCACACTCTGAAACAAAAACACCAGAGGGAAAAAGACGTGTCTATGCTGGTGGTGGACTCTGCTCAGAAGACCTGCAGGAGGGGCTGTAAGCATGTGAGCTTCCGTCTTTAGCAGGTGTGTGTCCACCAGTTTTGAAGTCAGCACTCTCCATTCCTCTGGTCTTACCAGAGGGGAGCATCGTGGTGACACAGACCTGGCATGCGGACCAGAGAGAGGGTAGAAAGAGGGCGCAGTGCTGAGACACTGAGTTGAGCCTCACCTATGCACTGGTAGGAACCTTAGACCCTGTGAGCTGGGCTTACCCTCCTGCCCTCAGGTCCTCTTAACACTGTGTGTGTGAGAAACCCCAGGAAATCTCAGTTGAGCAGTGCTTGAAAAATCCATAGGAACCCTCTGACTAGCCTGTTTGCTTTCGCCAAGGAGGTTCATCAGATCCCCATAAGGGAAGGGCAACCTCTCCGCCACGAAACCGGGAGGGTTGTGAGCAATGACTTCCACACTCCATCTAAGGCAGGACAGCAGGACACAGGGACAGCTCTGAGGAGAGCATCATGGGTGCAGCTTTCTCTGTGGGTACTCATGATGGGGTGAGCTTTCTATATGGTAGCTGCTCTTGAGTCACCCCGCTCTGGTGAGTAACCCCGGGACACTCACCACCAAGCTCAACTTGAATGGAGCAATTATTGTCCTGTCATTGGTGTCCTCTCAAGGTAAGATGTTTCTTTACAACGCACTAGGAAAAGCTCACAGCGCATGGGAGAGCGTGCGCGGGCACACATACACACACACACACAGCAACACACACACTTCTCTGATCCACTTTAGAGAAGGTTGTAGACATGATGCCCTTCACCCCCTAAGAGACTTAGCTGTGCATTTCCTAAAAGCAAGGATGCCCTCTTAGCACAGCAGCAGAAATTATCAAAATCACGATGTCTTGGCATCAATATCAAGCTGTGCAATTCACAATCCATATTCAAACACAATCAAATACAGTTGTCTTTTTTTTTTTTTTTTTTTTTTTGCTAGTCCAGGATTGCATTCATTATCAAGTCTCTTATCCCATTTAATCCAGGGCGGTTGCTTAGCCTTTCTCTGTTTTCCAATTCTCTAAGTTTTAATTATTTATTTTAGTGTATGTATAGGGAATATGTGTGTGTTGCTGTAGGGGAGATTGACGGTGTATCTCTATGTGTGTCTGGTACTGTGGAGGGTGTCACTGTGTGTAAGGGGGTGTCTCTGTGTGTGGGTATCTTTCTGTGTGAGAGATGTATGTGTTGGGGTGTCTGTATGTGTGATGTATGTCTATGGGGGGTGTCTGTGTGTATATGTGGTGCTGGGGGCTGAATGTCTGTGTGTGTGATGTATATATGTGTAGGGTGTCTGTGTGTGTCTGTGTATATGTGAGGTGCTGTGGGGAGTATCTGTGTGTGTGTGTATTTCTGTGTCGGGGTCTATATGTGTGATGCATAGGGGGTATCTGTGTGTATCTCTGTGTGCATGCCTGAGCACACTTGTGTGGAGGCCAAGGAGGACGTTAGGGGTCCTGCTGTCACTGCTGGTCTCACTCCTTTCAGACAGGGTTTCCCTTTGAACTGGGCGTTTGCCATTGCAGCTAGATGGCAGCTCTTGTGCTCCCCAGGAGCAAAGCTACCTCTGAACCACGAGCAGGCTAGAGATTGGTAGATGAGCCTAGCCAGGATTAGCACAAGTGCCACACAAATTGTGGGGCTACCAAGTTGTCATTTAAGTCACTCTGCTTTGGGTGGCACAAAATGTCACAAAACTAAAGAAGACCTGTTTCCTTGAGATCACTAGAGGGACAAGGTTCTGGCTTTGTTCTGTTTCCCTCAGGGTCAGACACTGGTGAGGTTTGGGATCCAAAGGGTCATTTGAATTTCCTTATACAGCTGTTAGAGAAACAGAGAGAGACAGAGACAGAGGGAGAGTCTCTTGGTTACTTGATTGGGCCGATGGAGAGATGGCTCTGATGGCCTTCCATATAACCCAGCAAATGCAGACCCTTTCCTAGCTGAGTGCTCACACTGGAAGACGGGCATGTCACTGATGAATGTGCGTGAGTGTTTTACATGTGTGTATGTATATGCACCGTATGTGTTCCCGGAACCCTCAAAACTCAGAAAAGGATGCCTGATCCCCTGGAACTGGCATTATAGACAGTCATGAGCCTCCATGTGGATGCTGGAAATCAAACCTGAGTCCTCTGCAAGAGCAATAAGTGCTTTTAACCTCTGAGCCAATTCCCCAGCTCAGGAAAGGAATTATTTTTAAGTATGGTCCTCACTAGGAAGAGAGACTAAAGCCTGAGCCGTGACCATCAGGATCTGAAGTGGACAAGGACAGGGTTCTGTTCTTTTTTGTTTGTTTGTTCAAGGCAGGGTTTCTCTGTGTAGCCCTGGCCGTCCTGGAACTCACTCTGCAGACCAGGCTGGCCTTGAACTCACAGAGATCCACCTGCCTCTGCCTCCCAAGTGCTGGGATCAAAGGCATGAGCCATTACCGCCCAGCCCAGGGTTCTGCTCTTATTCCCCAGAGAGCTGGATCTTTCCAAGCACAGGGCTCCTGGTGGGCCCCGGCACCTCTTTGTGGGATCGTGCCACTTGTACCCAGACAAACAAAACCCCTAGAAGTCAGTATTTTCTCATATATCCCTTGAGCAATGACTGACAGCTATAGTGGTATATCTATCCCAGCTCCCTCACCCCAATAAGGAAAATCATAATTATGTATTGTGATAATTAATCTTCATTATCAACTTAGCTGGATTTAGAATCACATAGGAGACAGCTCCAGGTGGGTCTGTGAAGGTGCTCAACTGAGGAAGGAGGACATGTCCTCAGAGTGGGTGGTGCCACCCCACGACCTCAGGGAAAGGAAAGGTCTGATGGCCAGCAGCATTTGTCTCTCTCTGCTTCCCAGATGTGGACACACTGCCCATAGTGCTCTTAAGTTCCTACAGCATGATAGACTCCACCCTCAAACTGTGAAGCAAAGTAAACACCTATTCCCTTATGTCACCTTTTGTTACAGCAACGAGACAGTAACTATACATGCACACCATCTCCCGAGGTTCTCAGTACATGCATACCGCCTCCGGAGTTTTTTAAAATTGATTTTTATTGATCTCTACAATTTTCTCTGCTCCTCTTCCTGCCTCTCCCCTCCCCTTCTCTCCCGAGGTCTCCATGCTCCCAGTTTACTCAGGAGATCTTGTCTTTTTCTACTTCCCATGTAGATTAGATCTGTGTATGTCTCTCTTAGAGTCTTCATTGTTGTATTAGGTTCTCAGGGATTGTGATTTGTAGGCTGGTTTTCTTTGCTTTATGTTTAAAAACCACTTATGAGTGAGTACATGTGATAATTGTCTTTCTGGGTCTGGGTTACCTCACTTAATATGATATTTTCTAGCTCCACCCATTTGCCTGCAAATTTCAAGGTGTCATTTTTTTTTTCTGCATTGTGTAAATATACCACATTTCCTTATCCATTCTTCAGTTGAGGGGCATTTAGGTTGTTTCCAGGTTCTGGCTATGACAAACAAAGCTGCTATGAACATGTCCTTGTGGCACAATTGAGCATCCTTTGGATATATACCCAAAAGTGGTATTGCTGGGTCTTGAGGAAGGTTGTTTCCTAATTTTCTGAGAAATCGCCACACTGACATCCAAAGGGGCTGTACCAGCTTGCATTCCCACCAGCCATACAGAAGTGTTCTCTCTACCCCACAACAACGTAAGTTGTCATCAGTGTTTTTATCTTAGCCATTCTTACAGGTGTAAGATGGAATCTCAGAGCTGTTTTGATTTGCATTTTCTGATCGCTAAAGGTGTTGAACATTTACTTAAGTATCTTTCAGCCATTTTAGATTCCTCTGTTGAGAATTCTCTGTTTAGGTCTGTACCCCATTTTTTATTGGATTATTTGTTCTTTTGATGACCAATTTCTTGAGTTCTTTGTATATTTTGCCTCCAGTGGCTCTTGATAAATGCACGCTGCCCCGTGCACACTGTTTCCAGAGGTTCTGGATACACGCGCTGCCTCCAGAGGTTTGTGATACATGCACACTGCCTCCAGAGGTTCTCTGAGACACTGGCTCCCTCAGCACCTCTGTGAACTCTGCTGAATATTGAACCATGGCTTGGCTATGTTCACTTTCCTGTCCAGGTTCCCACTGCCTTATCTGCTTTCCCAGTTAGTCTCCTTCTAAACTTGTAATTTTTAACATTTGTTTTATTGTTTTTAAATTGTGTGTGTGTGTGTGTGTGCGCGCGCGCGCGTGTGCGCACATATGATTGCTAATGCCCACAAGGACGAGGTTATTGGAGTCCCTGGAGCTAGAGTGACAGGCATTTACCCAACATAGGTGGTGGGAACCGAAGTTCCTTGGGAAGAGCAGTTAGTGATCTTAGCATCCAAGCCATCCCTCTATTCACCCTGGGAAGAATCAGCGAAGCATGCTCAGAGACATGTCACCCCAATGTGTTCACACAGACGGTAGCAGCCACTCACACCCTCCCGGACCCTTGCAAAGACTGACCTTCATCCTTAATGCAAAGGGCGTTGTACTTGGTACCGGGAGCAGGGTGGCTGTCAATTCTCACATCGACAGCTCTCACGATTGGCTGTTCGCCTCTCCCTTTGCTGCACACAGTTGTCCTGCACAGACAAAGGAGGACCCTGGGTTAGGACCGTCTTCAGGCTGAAAAGAATTCATTTCTACCGTCAACTTTGAGACCTTTGGACATAGAAACATTCTCCTCAGACAAAGGTCACATTGGGAAGACAGGTGATGACGGGGTTAACTCACAGGCGTCAGAGGCAACACCTTTTTACCCCCTCACTGAGAAAAAAAATCCATCCAAGGAGTCACTTGAGTTTATTTTTACATTTTAAGTGTTTACTTTGGTAATACGTGTATGGAGGTCATGTGTGTATGAAGATTGTCCACCATGCAGGTCCCAGGTGCTGAACTTAGGTCCTCAACCTTGACAGAAGGCGTCTTTACCTGCTGAGCCATCTCCCCAGTCCTCATTTGAGTTTTTGAAAGGTTCGGTAGAAGGGGTGGAGAGAAGGCTCAGCAGTGGAATGCTTGCTCTCGCAGAGAACCTGGGTTTGGTTCCCAGCACCGGGTATGGGGGCTCACAACCTCCTGTAACTCCAGGTTCAGGGGAATCTAAAAGACTAGAAAATCAACTAAAATTATATGGAATTCTTTAGCTTGCAAAGCGGAACCTAAATCAAGCAAATCTATCACTCTAGGTAAGCAACTGCAACCCAAAGGCTTAAAAATTAGCAGATTATTTGAGAACAAAAGGCATAAAATGGCATGTGTCTTGCATAATGGCACACAACTGTAGCAACGGCTACTTGGCAAGCTGAGGCAGGAGGATCACTTGAAATAAAGAGTTTGAGACCAGCGTGGGTAACACAGTACTCTCTACTACCTCCTCTCCTAAAAGACAGATGGTCACCTAGTGGTGAGGCAATGAGGAAACATTTCTCATCATGCCCTGCCTGCTGAAAGTCAAAAGCTTGATTTGCATAAAGTCCCCTGTCACCATGGTAACCAGGGCATCCTCTGCCAAAGAATACCTGACTTTCCCAGCCTGGATGTCACAGTCCAACAGCTTTCTTAGTGAGACACTTTGGAGGCATGGTGGCATTCTCTAAGCAGTGGCCTTCTGGCTGGGGGTGAGGGTGAGTGGGGATATCTCCAGCAAGGGACGCGAGGGAAAAGTCACTGTAAATAGCACGCTTCATTCCCGTCTTTCCTGGACATATCTTATAGATCTGGCTGCGTAAACAGCCTTCGCTATGTGCTCGAGGGAACCACTCTGTACAGTCAGCTGTCGGCATCTCAGCAAGGTGAGGGCAGTGCTTGTTGTAAACCACATCTCCATTACAGCTGATGGGGCCACACTGAGCCAAGGAACTCTTATGCCCCTTGGGACCAGCGACCACAGACCCACGGTCAGTCACCGCCATCTTCCCTAGTAAGTTCTGGAATGTCCTAGAGTCCTTGCTGTCTAAGCGGGAGAGGGTGTATTTCTATGTGACATTCTTCAGAGAGAGAGAGAGAGAGAGAGAGAGAGAGAGATCTTTCTAGGGGGGGTTCTCTTGTAGGAGGTCTTTTCCTAGGTTATGAGGGTTCAACTTTTTCTGAGGAGGCTTCATCTGAGGGGACTTTTTTTCTGAGGGGGCTTCTCCAGGGGGCCTTTATTCTGGGAGCAGGTTGGGTGGCTCTTAATCTTTGGAAGGCCATCTAAAATTCCCCTGGTGCACAGACTTCAGCTTCAACAGAATCCATTCCCTTTGAGTAGCCGCCAGCCAAGACACTGCTGCTGTCTTGTCCAGACCCTTCCTTTTCTGACCCCTGCTGGAGGAATAACTATCTTCTTGGGAGGGGAAAGGTCTTCCAAGTGACACCTACTCTTAGGTTTTCCCTTCCTTTGAGAGTTCTGAGTCCCGTTGAGGCACCTCACTAGGTTCGCTGTTCTTTCTATTCAGATATTCCGAAAGCCTCTCCAAGAACCATTGCTCCTTGACAAGGTTTCCAAGCTTGGCATTTCCTTCTAAAGCCTTTAATGGGAGGTCCCCTAAACTCCAGATTCTGTGGTTCAGAAGACAGGGGTCTGCCTGGGTGGCTGGGTGGAGAGCTGGGAGGAGTGGCCTATGGGTGGGAAAAGGAGGGTGCACTTATTCCGCTGAATCACCTCATCCAACATGTCTCAGAGGTCTGCAGAAACCTGTGGCAAGGGTGGGATCCTGGTGCCTGCACCCACGAGCCTGGGGGGGGGGGGGTGGAAGGGCGGTGGGGGGAACTGAGGTAAGACAGAAACTGAGGTAGGACTAAAGGAAGAAGAACAACGGAGCTCTCTGCCAGGCGAAGGGGAAGTGGAGTTCACCAAGCTGGAGCAGACAGGCTCCATAATCTGCCTGTGAAGGGACCATCTGAGAACACTGTGGTTATGCCCTCTGTGTTACCCAGGCTTCTGCAGAGAGGCTCCAAACAGTGTCCCTCAGGCTGGACTCCACACGGAAAGCAGCCTCCATGTGCAGACTCAATGTGTGGGTGCTGGGAGAGCGACAGTCTCCCCAAACCAGAACCCCTCAGCCTGGACTCCACACAGAGAGCAGCCTCCATGTGCAGACTCAATGTGTGGGTGCTGGGAGAGCGGTAGCCTCTGACATGAGACTTCCCAACCACCGACCTCTCCAGCCCCCTCTTTTCTTCCTTTTAGAATTCTAATTGCGTACAGTTTCATCACCTTTACCATTTTCTCTACATTTTTTTTAATTCTTTCTTTTTTTCTTTGTTCAGCATATCTCCCTCCCAAATAGCTTCCAGCTTACTAATTCTTTCTTTGGCTCATTTCAGTCAGCTATTAGATCCATCCATTAAATTCTTAATTTTAGTTACTATTGTTTTTCATTTCTAAAATATTTCCATTTGGCTATTTTTATAGTTTCTCATGCTGGTAAAATTCTTGTCTTTTATAGTTTTGAAAAATTTAAGGATTGTCATCTTTTTTAAAAAATTATTTTTATTTTATGTGTATGGGTGTTTTGCCTGCATGCATGTCTGTTCACCATGAGGGTGCCTCGTGACTGAGAAGGTCAGAAGAGGGTGCTGGATCCCCCGGACTGAAGTTACAGATGATTGTGAGCTGCCACAGGCATGCTGGGAATCAAACCCAGGTCCTATAGAAAAGTAGCCAGTGCTCTTAATAGCTGTGCCATTTCTCCAGCCTCAAAGGTTGTCATCTGAAAGTCACTATCTACCTGGGGTGATATATAGAATTTTTTTTTTTTTTTTTTTTTTTTTTTGCCTTTTCAAGACAGGGTTTCTCTGTGGCTTTGGAGCCTGTCCTGGAACTAGCTCTATAGACCAGGCTGGTCTCGAACTCACAGAGATCCACCTGGCTCTGCCTCCCGAGTGCTGGGATTAAAGGCGTGCGCCACCACCGCCCGGCTAGAATTTCATTTAGCTGGTGTGTCTCCTGAATTTTACTCATTATTAATCTCCTAGTGTGACTGGCTATTTCATATTGTGTGTGAAATACTCTGCTAATAAAAATCGTTGAAGTAAGATCAAGGACTAGGGTAGAATTATCTTCCTTAAAAGTGAATTCTTATGGATTCTTCCAGACACATGGAGGCCTGAAATTCTACTCTCATCTTTGAAACCCAAGGAACAGGTGCAAACCCTGTTGGGACGTTTTCTCCAGCTCATCACAAGACTTGCTTCTCCAAAGCATTTGCTGGGTTAGGAGCTCAGCTCACAACGGGGACAACTGCTCTGTAGGCTCTAGAACCTGAGCTGGGGAGACTCACAGGCTGCTGAAAACTCAACGGGGAGGGGGGCGCTAGAAACACCTGGGAGCCTTGCCACTCACAGTTCCGGCCCTGGCCGTTGGCTCTCGGCTAAGACACTGGGTAGGCCTTTTGGCAAGGGCCTGCGTGAGGCCGTAGCCTTCATCGAGGCTAGGCATCTGGTCTGTATTTGTTACTTTGAACAGTTGCAAAACACCCGAGAGCAACCACTCACGGCAGGAGCAGCTCGTTCTGGCTCACAGTTTCTGTGGTTTCAGTCCCCACAGCTGGAGCCGTGTGGCAGCCGGAACCACCCAGTCCGTGGTGCCAGAGGCTGCTCACCTGACTGAAGACGGGAATCCAGAAAGTGACAGGAATCAGGCTGTGTGAGCAATCTTCAGAGGCCAGCTCCCAGTGACTTGCTTGACCAGCTTGACCCCACATCAAAAATGTCTCACAGGACCCTCCCTACAAATAGTGCCACCTTCTGGGGACAAGCATTCAAAACAAGAGCCCGTGGGGGGGGGGTGTTTTAGATTCAAACAATAATTATCTCTAAGGCTACAAAGGTAACTGACTCCGGAGACCAGAACATGGTGGAGGGGTTGGGGAGGAAGGCCACTCTAAACGTAAAGGCCCTATAGAAGCCTGGCAACCTGGGTACTACCCAGGAACCCGTGTAAAATGTTGGATATGGTGGCACGCATCTGTGATCCTAGCATTCCTATGGCAAAATGGGAGCAGAGAGGGGGGAACCGCTGGAGTCTGCACAGGCAGCTTTAGGTAGAGCAGAAGGAGCAAGAGGGACCCTACTTTGACAAAGTAAAGTGAGAAGAGTCGTTCTCTGACTCCTGCAGGAAAATCGTTGAGCCCCATATACACCTAGGTAGCACAGCTGAGGTGGTTGGAAAAGAATGCTTCCCTGGCTATCCTGACTTACCCAAGGGTGCCGTCGGCCAGCCAGCCTGTCGTGCACACTGCGAAGGCACAGTCTTGGACCACTCTCTTCAGCTCCCCAGCAGACACCAAGTGGGCACCCCTGCTCCTGCAGGAGAGCCGAGCTGCCTCCAGGTCCAGGCCTTGAGAGCCGTTCTGAGACTCCAGCAGGAAGAGTTTCCCTGTACAGGATGAGAAGGATATGTGATGTGAGGTCCAAGGCCCTGGGAGTCTGCCACGCTCGCTGTCTGCAGACGTCTCCGTCCCTGGGACCAGGTGGTGACAGTTCTGCTGGGGTTTTCACTTATTTCAGCTCTAGGCATCTTGAGGTGGGTGCTCCTTCTGCTGCCCAAACGGGTTTCAAGCCCATGAGTTCAAACCTCCCTCCCACCCCATCCTCCCTCCTATCCGGAACCAGAGTACAAGACTACGTCTCACTTGTTCTGGTCTACTATAAACAACCCAACCAACAAATACTTAACTATGGTGGGGAGACAGACACATCAGTTAAATGTTTGCCTTGGGGTCTTAAGGACCCTGAATCTGATCTGCAGAAACCACATAACAATAGAGCTGGGGTGACGTTGACTTGGGGCCTGCAGTGATGAGAGTGGAAACGGGGGGATTATGGGACTCACTGGCCAGCCAGCCTGGCCTGCTTGAGGAATTTCAGGCCAGCAAGAAACCCTGTCTCGAGGGAACACGGTGGGTGGCATTTTAAAGGCAACAGCTGAAGTTGCTCTCTGGCTTCCCCATGCACCCATGTGTGTGCACACACACATATGTGCATTCTTCCCCTCACACACACACACCAACCACACCAACCGTGGTCTGGCATGGGTTTGAATTAGCCAGGTGTGGTGACACCTGTCTTTAATACTAGCACTGGGAGACAGACGCAGGCAGTTCTCTGAGTTCTACTGGCCAACATGGTCTACAAGGAGATTGTGTATGTGTGTGTATGTATGTGTGTGTGTGTGTGTGTTGCTTTGTTTCATCTAATCCTTCTTGGTGTAGGAGGTTCTTCTATCTATGTGTTGCTTTCATTGGTTAATTAATAAAGAAACTGCTTGGCCTGATAGGGCAGAACATAGGTAGGCGGTGTAGACAGAACTGAATTCTGGGAGGAAGAAAGCAGGGTCAGGGATTGCCGCCATGGAGCCAGCCACCAGGTCAGACACGCTGAATCTTTCCCAGTAAGCCACTACCTCATGGTGAACACAGATTATTAGAAATGGGTTAAATCATGATGTGAGAGTTAGCCAATACTAGGCTAGAAATAATGGGCCAGGCAGTAATTTAATTAATACAATTTCTGTGTGATTATTTTGGGGCTAAGCTAGCTGGGTGGCCAGGACAAACAAGGGGCCCCCACTTCTCCTTACTACACCTTCTACCAAAAAAAAAAAAAAAGATGTGACAGGGCTCATTGTCCTGGGTTCCCTTGCGTGGGTGTGGAGTTACAGAGGGTTGTGAGCCACCATGTGGGTGCTGGGACTCAGGCTCTGGTCCTCTGAAGAGCAGCAAACCTCTTAGCTACTGGCCATCTCCACCCCAATGCTCAGTAAGTTTTACTTGTGTTTCAGGTTATCCTGCATTAAGTAAAAAGTCTCTTATACTAAAGTCAGTAGCCCATACTCTGAGACAGAGGCAGGGGGATCACTGTGAGTTGGAGACCAGCCTGATCTGAGACCCTGGGCAAACAAACAACAGACAACAACCTCCCAACCTCCTGCCATGACTCTCAGAGCATCTTCTGCTCTTTAGCCTCATCAGAGATGGAAGCCGAAGCGGCAGCTGCACTCATCCAGCTGTCTGCTGGCAGCTCTCCTCCTGTGGGTTTTAAGCTCCCTGGTAGAAGGACCCATTTCTCCCCGTCATTCTGTCTTTGTCAGCAAGGGCCTTGCCTGGTATGTAGTAGTTACTCTTTGAACATGGACTGAATTGATGAGTCTTTCTCTTAAATCATTATCCAGACCACTCATTTGCATTTAGTTAATATGAAGACTTTTTTCCCCATTTCAAAAATTGAAGAAAGTAAAATTTGAGAAGATAACTCAGTTGGCAAAGGGCTTGCTGCTCTAACGTAAAGATTTGAGCTCCATTCCCAGCTCCCACACTTGCAGGCAAGACAGCTCAGGGGGTAGGGGGGCTTGCTGCGTGAATCTGACAACCCAAGTTTGGTCCTGGATCCCCTGTAAAGGGAGAAGAGAGAAAAGGCTCCACAAAGTTGCCTTTGACCTCCGCATGTGAATGTGGCGTGTGCTCCACCCAAAAACATAAACTCCGTGTTAAGCTACACATGCCTGTAATCCCAGCACTGGGGAGGTGGAGACATGAGGATTCCTGTGACTGAATGACAAGGTTCCCCTGAGACCCTGTCTCAAAAACACAAGGTAGAGAGGCTGGAATTGCTCAGCAGTTAAAAGCACACACTGCTCTTGCAAAGGACCAGAGTTTGGTTCCTAGCACCCATATGGGGTGGCTAACAACTGCTTGGAATTCCACTCTAAGGGGAATCCCACATCACTAACCTCAGAAGGTACCTACACACACATATTAAAATAAATAAATTTAAAAAATCCTAAGATTAGAAAGGGATTGAAGAAGACACTTGGTACTGACTGCTGGACTCCATCTTCTTGTGCACCCAATAAACACAAATACAAATGAAAAACAAAGTAAAAATACAGAAATACAGTAATCTTTCTACTTTGTGTATGTGATACATACTGAATTAGTCAAATATAAATGAATGTTTTTTGCTTAAATTTTATTTTTTAGAGCCTGTTTTTGTCCAAATATCTACAATCATTAGTATCAACTGAACAGTCCTCCCCTTGTTCCCACACAGGCCTGCTGTGGGACAATGGTCTTTTATCCTGTCACTTGTATTATTTTTAATAAAATGCTGATTGGCCAGTATCCAGGCAGGAAGAATGGGTGGGGTGACCAGGCAGGAAGTAGAGGCGGAGCAACAAAAATGCTGGAAAGAGGGAAGCGCAGTCTGCAGTTGTGACCCAGATACAGAGGAAGCAAGATGTGACTGTGTCACCAAAAACAGTACCTAGCCATGTGGCTAACACAGACAAAAATGATGGACTAATGTAAGTTATAAGAGTTAATAAGAAGCCTGAGATACTAGGCCAATCAATTTATAATTAATGTAGACCCCTCTGTGATTTCTTTGGGACTTAATGACTGTGGGAACCGGGCAGGACAGAAAAACTCAGTGAACAGAATGGCACCCAAAGTGGGACAACTGCATCCACATAAAACCAAAAAGAGTTTAAAAAATAATTCTAGACAAAAAAAAAAAGAGTTAAACACAGTTTCTTTTTTTCTTTTTTTTTTTTTTTTTTGGTTTTTCGAGACAGGGTTTCTCTGTAGCTTTGGTGCCTGTCCTGGAACTAGCTCTTGTAGACCAGGCTGGCCTCGAACTCCCAGAGATCTGCCTGCCTCTGCCTCCCGAGTGCTGGGATTAAAGGTGTGCACCACCACCACCCAGCTAAACACAGTTTCTTGATAGCAGCATTTTCTCAGGTGGGCTCTGCTTGCTAGAGGCAAGCACTCTCATTTAAGAGAGGCTTCCTGACTCAGCTTTAGCTGCAAAACCTTACAGCTCTTTTAAGAGGTCCTGCCATGAAATACTTAAATGGTGTTAATAAAAAACTGACTACATGCTTTTTGGTGGTGACAGGGTCCTTAAATCGCTATAGAGTTGTGACAATAAACATGGCTATGGCTGGTACCTCTGCCAAGGGGCTAAAATCTCAAAAAGCTAAGGAATAGGTTTGATCCAGCTGTCAAAGCCATGGCTTTTGTCCTAGCCATATCACTTAACAAAGTAAAGAATCATATGGTTAAAAAAAGAGAGAGATATAGTAAAGACAGATTCAAATTTAAAAAAAAATCTTTAAACAGTTTAGAGTGTGTTTAAAAATATATATAGGCTTGGTAAATAGGAAAAAAAAGATAATTGTCTTTAAAATAAATAAAAGAGAATAGTTGGGTGTGGTGGCACACACCTTTAATCCCAGCTCTTGGGAGGCAGAGGCAGGTGGATCTCTGTGAGTTCAAGAACAACCTGGTCTACAGAGTAAATTCCAGAACAGAAAAAGATACACAGAGAAACCCTGTCTCAAAAAGCCAAATATTAAAAATAAAAGAAATAGAGCTTAAAATAAGGCCAAGTAAAGATGAAAGGCACACAGAGAATCTGGATACTGCATGTTATTATGTTATCTTTAAATTGTTTGAATGCTGAGGAAGGAGCAACTGCTGCTAAAAGATATTTGTTTATAAATGCTGCTAAATTAATCCAAGATAGGTATTTTAAAAATAACCTGACTTCAAAATTGAAGTCAAAAGGTATGTTACTTTTGAGAAGAGGTTTGACTTTTGTTTACACAGAAAATGAGAGGCTGTGGATTCATTCTGGGTTAAGAAAAATCAGGTTTGGTCAAGGAAGACCCCCTGAGAAATCTCCAATAGGAGTGGATGGCCCAGATGTCTGAGTTCTATATCCAGAACAGATTCAAGACCGCTGCTTGAGATGATCAAGCCTCAACAGGATACTCCAGTCATGACTTGATCATAATTCTAAATATTCTTTAGGTCCCCATAAGATTATCAGCCCACTTTCCCAAAAAATGGACTATGGGTATTTTTCTTTGTTTAGAATGTTGGTTACTAGTTATTATGGATAATGGTCAAAAAAAAAAAAGCTAAACAAGAGAGATTCAATTCAGAGTTCTTGTTTTGAAAAAAGGGTGGGGGAGTGCTGTGGGACAGTGGTCTTTTATTCTGCCCCTTGTATTATTTTTAATAAAATACTGATTGGCCAGTAGCCAGGCAGGAAGTATGGGTGGGGCAAACAGGCAGGAAGTAGAGGCGGGACAACCAGGCAGGAAGTAGAGGCGGGGCAACAAAAATGCTGGAAAGGGGGAAGTGCAGGCTGCAGTTGTGACCCAGAGGCAGAGGAAGCAAGATGTGACTGCCTCACCAAAAAACAGTACCAAGCCATGTGGCTAACAGACAAAAATGATGGACTAATATAAGTTATAAGAGTTAATAAGAAGCTTGAGATACTAGGCCAATCAATTTATAATTAATATAGACCCCTGTGTGATTTCTTTGGAACTTAATGACTGTGGGAACCAGGCTGAACAGAAAACCTCAGTCAACACAGGCCCAGATAACTAGAGTCCTCCCCTCCTCCCCACATAGACTCAGATAACTAGAGTCCTCCCCTCCTCCCCACACAGACTCAGATAACTAGAGATGAGAGAGGCAGTAAGCACAGACCCAGGCAGCAAGCCGTTCACAATACAGCTTACAGTTCTTCCGTGGCTCTGCTATACAAAGGAGGGCTTGGCAAATGGCATTTTCTTACAATGAAGTGTGCTCATGATTCTCCATAGGTCAAGTGGAGAGAGGAAGAAAGAAGGTGGTGGTGGGGAGCAGGAAGCATTCCCAGAAATAAAAGGCACACACACACACACACACACACACACACACACACACACACACCCCTCAGGAGTCCTAGGTTTCTCTTTGCCAGAGGCAACCCCACCTTCTGTTTTCTATGCCCCTCCCCAATCCAGACAGGCACAAAACTTTGATCCTTATCTGTGTGGCATTCTGCTTAAGCGTTCATAATGGGGCGAAACTCTATAAAACATCATGGAAAGAGATCTTGTTCAAAGGAATTAAAACTAGAACAAAAGTAGACCTTGTTGGAAAGTTAGCACTAACCCAACTCATGCTGCTTGCTTTCTTTAAAACCAGTTTAATTCAAGCTCAGCGTCAGGCTGGAAATGCTAAAGCTTTACCAATGCACGGACCACGAAGAGAGGTGATGTTTTATGTGGCAGTCATGGAATGCTCTAGAATTAGATGCACAAACATTGTTTACACAACAAAATATTTACATGTGCATATTTTAAAAACCGCAGTTACACATTTTTAAATGGTAACTTTTAAGAAGCGTATCTAGATTTCTTTTTAAAATTGGGGCTGAGGATCTAGCTCAGTGGCAGGATGCTTCTAGAGCCCTGCCAGATAAATTAATTGGTAATTATTTAGAGGAGCCGCTGACAGCCGTGTCTTCTTACTGCTCATGGGCATGGCTAAGACGCTGACCGAGAGTCCAAGTCCTTGATTAAAACATGGCACATACATGCAAACTTGGAGCGCGCACCTGCGATGTCGAGTGACATATTGTCCCCCTCATCATTTCCTCAAGTTCCAGGGTTTCCTTTCCCTGATCTTTAGCGTCACCCTAGGCTTTACCAGGTTTAAATAACTATATTTCAATGTATGCAAAGCTCCCTAAATCGGTCGAAGGCTTTTCTCCCCTATTGGTCGAGGTCGTCCCAAGGGTGAACTTTCCAGAATACCTTCTGGGGCTGAGGACAGCCGCCTCCCTTCAAACTCTCCAGCTCCACGTTGGGGGGGGGGGGTTGTTTCAACAACTAAACACAGCTGAATTAGCTTTTCAAACTGAAATTGTATTGACACAGGGCTCTAATCCTGCTAGCTTAAGGCAAGTTTCAAAAGCCAAATTCAAGGGCCAGCGACATGGCTCGGTGGATAAAGGCGCTTGCTGCCAAGCCTGGTGACCTGAATTCCACCCCAGGGAACCCACGTAGTGCGTGGGGAAGGAGGGAATCCTTCAGCTCAGCAAGCACGCATGTAAGCACACACACACACACACACACACACACACGCACGCGCGCTAATTGTTTTTAATTAAAGCTGAATTTCGACTTAAAAACAAAGTACATAAACACATATGCATATCAATACTAAATGTTTAAAAAAAATTAAAGCTGAATTCGGGTTAAAAAAAAAAAACACAGTGGGTCAACTTGTCATCTGGCTGCTACCTGGCTTTCCACTGCCTGTCCCAAGGCATCCACCCCAACCTGGCGGCTTGGCTCCCGGCTAGCTATTTGCTTTTAAATCGTAGGTCCCATGTTCCCCAACACCGCCTGAGCGACTCAGCTCGAGCTGTTCCTCCTACCGGGACGCCTTGCTTCCCTGTTTGCCAGGAACACGAATCCTCACTCATCTTTCAAACCTTCCTAGACAACGCAAATATTTTCTGACCGCAGTCTCCGGGAAGGGCACCTACCTTACAGACGTTGAAAAACCGAGGGAACATGGAAAAATCAATCCCAACAGGGGAAGTTCGAGGGCAGCCTAGACGTGACTTCATTCTAGAGATCTCTCTCAGGGAAGCAGGCGGCGGGGAGGGTGGGGAAAGGTGGGGGCCGGTGATGCTGGGGCTCAGGGTAGCCGGTTCCAGGCTACACCTCCGGCCCGGCTGGCCTCCCGGCTGCACCGGGACCCCTGCGGCTGCGGACACTCACCCTCGGTGCGCACGGGTGGCGGCTGCAGACCCAGCAGGAGCAGCAAGGCGCAGAGCGCAGGCAGGCTGCCGGGTGCTGGCCATCGCGGCCCCGCGCTCATGGTGGTGGCGTCCGCTGGTTGTGCGCGACCGGAGAGTCTCGGGTTCCCGGGGATGTTGGAGCCGCTGCCGGGGATGCTGCGGGAGTCGGAGCCGTAGCGCCGGGACCTGCGAATACCCGGGGGTCTCGGTGGCGCCACCCAGGCGGCTGCAGTCCGGCTCCGCCTTTGCGCCGGGCACCTGGGAGCCGCGGTGCCAAAAGGGGCTGCGCCCAGGGCGCGGCTGGGGCGGAGGGCCAGGGCCCGGAGGGCGGGCAGTGGGTACCCTCGAGGGGAGGACGGTCGCCACGCAGGGCCCCAAGTCTTGACTGGGCGCCGACTCACAGACAGAACCTTCGTTAAACGAATCTTTTTTAAATGAAGAAGGGAAGCTGCTGATTTGCTAGCCTCTGTCCTCGGGACGGCAAGCTCCGTTCCATTAGGAAAAGGCCATCTTGGGACTGAGGATGTGGTTCATTTGGCAGAGTGCTTGCCTGGCAGGCACAGAGCCCTGGGTTCTAGTCCCCGGCACCGCAGAAAACCAGGAGTGGTGGCAATCGCTTGTAATCCCAGCACACTCGGTATATGTAGGTAGAGGGCTCTCATCTAATTTAAACAATGTTTCCTTCAAGGGCGTTAGCTACCTCCCCCTGGTGTTCCTCAACACGTTGCCACTCACTTCTGAGTCTGATTTGGGTGACCTCCGGAGCGCGTGGAATTTCCATATTTGGGGTGGGTAGGGGGTGATCTGAGAAGCTACAGTCTTGGTCCCACCTGGAACGGATGATCTCTTCCAGGTCACGGGGTCCTGTCTCCCCAGCATCAGCTCCCTGGAGAAAGTCCAGCTCTGTTGCCTTGCCTGGTGGCTCATAGCCCTGTAACCCTAGCACTTTGGAGGTTGAGGCAGAAGAATTGCTGCCAGTTCCGGGCCGGCATGGGCTACATAGCAAGACCCCCGTCTCAATTATAAAGAATAATGCATTGTTAAACTTTGAACACCAGAGGCTCTCTGCAGTTTGCAAATCTCTTCCGTATTAATGTACCAGTCAATAAACGGGTTAAGTGCCCACAATATGGCTGCCGATGACGATGACGATGTCATAGTTCGTTCTTTTGAAAAGTCCTGCTTAGTTAAGTCAAACGCTAAAGGCTGAGCAAGAGTTTGCTGTTAAACCACGAATAACTGTCACTAGCTAGTGAGCTAGAATATGAACATGGGGAGAACATGCTTTCTTTTCCAAGTATGGACTGGGATCTGAACCCATGTCTGGCTTAGGACCGATAGCATTTTCCAGCTCACATTATTTATATGAGCCAAGGCTAGTCTGGAACTCACTATGTAGCCCAGGTTGGCCTCAAACTCACAGCCCTCCCAACTACACCCCCACAGATATGCACTGTTATAGCCCAAGGCTTCACATAACTTCATTACTTTTTTACTCGTGTGTGTGTGTGTGTGTGAGTGTATGTGTGTGTGTGAGTGTATGTGTGTATGTGAGTGTGTGTGTGTGTGGTGTGTGTGTGTGTGAGTGTATGTGTGTGTGTGTGAGTGTGTGTGTGTATGTGTGTGTGTGGTGTGTGTGTGTGAGTGTATGTGTGTGTGTGAGTGTATGTGTGTGTGTATGTGAGTGTGTGTGGTGTGTGTGTGAGTGTGTGTGTGTGTGAGTGTGTGTGTGTGTGTGTGTGTGTGTGTAGATCAAAAGACAACTTGCAGGAGTCTCCTTCTACCATATCGGTCTAGAGAATTGAACTCAGATCATAAGGTCCTAACGCAAGTGCCTTTACAATCCAATACCATCTTGCAAAGCCTCTTGTAACTTTCCGACTTCACTGAAAAGATAGCACATCTCGAAAGCTACTAGCAGTGATGATTACGCTTCACATTTAAAACACAGGTGCTTAAGGGCCTGACGGTCATTCACGTGTAAGTGGAAATGAATTACTTAGCTACTTTCAGTTCAGCAGTTGGCAAGGCCACCTAGGGAGTGAGATTTCACATGTCTGGACTGAGGAGACATTGACAGTTTAGTGTAGAAAATGAAGGAGGGGCTCAGAAGGGGCCTGTGAGCTACGCCAAGAGACCCATCCGAGGACAGTGTCTACTAACATCCTAGAAGTCTTTTGAAACTGATTACCTAACCCTGATGGCATTTTAAACATTATCTTTGCCCAGGTCTGTCTTGGCCTGTCCTGCTCCAGGGAAATGGTATGTTCTAGAGGTATAATTTGTGCAAGCACTGGGGGAAACCATCCAGCTGTCTCCCGTGAGTGTATGCTTGCCTCATGTCCCAGAAAACACTGCGGTGTATATCCAAAACAAAGGAAAACATCAGCTACAGAAAGATCCTAGCTCCCTCGTCTGCACCATCTGAAGCCACGCAGGCATCCCCAACGCGTGAACAGAGTGACAAACGGCAGCGTGTTCGAGTGGAATCAGTGGACAAGGAGAGGACAAAACACAGTGCTAAAGGTCTGGATGCTTGTCTAGCACACACGAAGCTCCACATTCAACGCAATACAAGAGCGGCAGAAAATGCTATGGGTTCAGATTCCAGTCCATACTCTGTAAAGAAAGCACGTTTTCCGCATGTCCGTGTCCTAGCTCACTAGCTAGTGACAGTTATTCGTGGTTTAGCAGCAAACGCTTGCTCAGCCTTTAGCATTTGACTTAACTAAGCAGGACTTTTCAAAAGAACAAACTATGACATCGTCATCATCTAGGCAGTGCACACCTTCTATCCAGGAGGTTCAGGATCGGCAGTTCAAGGTCATTCTTAGCTACATTCAGACCAGTCCAAAACTGCAAAAAGGTAACCTTAAAACAGGCCAGCCAGATGCCTCAAATGAAGAAGGCAGTTGCCTGAGTTCAATCCCTGGAGCCCACATGGTAGAAGGAGAGAACCAAGTCCCTTGGGTGGTCCTCTGACCTCCATATTCAAATTATGACAAACATATTCACACATCCACAAGTAGAAAAATGTTAAAAACAAAAACACATGACTGGGCAGTGGTGGCACACACCTTTAATCCCAGCACTGAGGAGGCAGAGGCAGGCAGATCTCTATGAGTTCGAGGCTAACCTGCTCTACAGAGTGAGTTCTAGGACAGGCTCCAAAGCTACACAAAGAAACCCTGTCTCAAAAACCCAAAACTCTCAAGACCCAGTAATACCACTTTTGGATATATATCCAAAGGATGCTCAATCGTATCACAAGGACATGTTCATATTCTAGCTCACTGCTATGTTCATAGCAGCTTTGTTCATCATAGCCAGAACCTGGAAACAACCTAAATGCCCCTTGACCTAAGAATGGATAAGGAAAATGTGGTACATTTACACAATGAAGTACTACACAGTAGAAAAAAAAAAACAAACAACATCTTGAATTTTGCAGGAAAATGGATGGAGCTAGAAAACATTATTTTGAGTGAGGTAAAGACAATTATCACATATACTCACTCATAGGTGGTTTTTAAACATAAAGCAAAGAAAACCAGCCTACAAACCACAATCCCAGAGAACTTAGACAGCAATGAGGACACTAAGAGAGACTTACATAGATCTAATCTACATGGGAAGTAGAAAGTATAAAAAGACAAGATCTCCTGAGTAAATTGGGAGCATGGGGACCTTGGGGGAGGTCTGAAGAGGGGAGGGGAGCAGAGAAAAATGTAGAGCTCAATAAATATCAATAAAAAAAATTAAATGCCAAAAAACCCAAAACTAAAACAAACCTAAACAAAACAAAAGAACTAAACCAAAACACACATACACCCCATGATAAAGAGAGAAAGAAAGAAAACCAAATACCAAGAAAAGCCTAATGTAAAAATGTTCATGCCATATTATTCCATTGATATGAAATTTGATTCAGAAAGGATAAAACAGCCAGGCATGTTGCAGTCACCTTTAATCCTGGCACTTTGGAGGCAGAGGCAGGCAGATCTTCAGGGGAGGATGGGCAGTAGGGGTGAGTTCAAGGGCAGCCTGGTCCATATAGTGAGCTCCAGGACAGTCAGGGCTATATAGTAGAACCCTGCCTCATAAGTAAGTAAGTAAATAAATAAATATTTTTTGTTTAAAAAAAAAAACAAAAAAATCGGAGAGAAAAGGCCAGTTTTACTAGGTAGCCACCTCCTATAATGGAACTGTAGTCTCCAGAGGGAGGAAGGATCCTGAGATTCAGAAGCTTCAGAAATTTAAACCAACCAAAAAACTTGCAGAAGTTCCAAGGTCCCACCTCTAGTGTCTATTGTATGAACAGGAAGTAATTGCTAGGAAGAGAAGTTTCTTCAGTGGAGTCGCCTGCAGGGGTTATCGCTCACTCTGGGGTGGGCCTTTCTGGGGTGCAGCTGTGCTTGGCTAACGCATGCTCCAGTCAGAAGCCCAAATAAGCTCCCTGGTTCACCAAGCTAGACTTGGACTTCGCTTTAACTTTGAGCTGTCAATAATGTCCTCTCTGGGATGGAGAGGTATCTGTTGATGCCTTCCTAGGGAAAGCTTCTGAACTTCCCTCCACACCATAGTTACCTCTGAGAGGTGGGAACGCAAGTGTGAAGTAGGACCCCTCCCTGAGGACAGTGGTCATTACATGAGTGTGGACATTGATCAAAGCCCACTAAACTATGCATTTGAAGGGTACAATGCTTACTGAGTAGTTACTCAATGCGTAACTGATCAAATATTTTTAAAACCATAAATGCAGTTACTTCTCTGAGGAACAAAAGGGCTTAATGAAAAGGCCACATACTGAGACATGGGCAGGGCTAAGGGACGCCGAAGTCCTCGGGTGGAGCAACTGTGGGAAGGTGGTGCCATCCTGGGAGGGGATGTTGGGGTGTGGGTCTGGGTGATACCTCAGTGGGAAAAGAGAAAGTGGGAACAGGAGAATCAGAGGTCAGCTCTCCAGCACACACAAAAAAAGTTGGGTATAGCAGCTATTGTCCCGGCACCGTTGAGGCAAGACTGGCAGACCCTGGGGACACTCGTGGGACAAGCAGTCGAGCTGAACTTAGTGATCTCGCTTTTCAGCGAGAGACCTCGTCTCGTTTGCTTTGCTGCTGCGGCTGCTGTGGGGAAACCCTGACCAAAAGCAAGCTGGAAGTAAATCACAGAGGCAGGGACTTGACACAGAAAGGTCACACTATGCCCACAACTGCCCTGCTGCAGGGCTGTGGCCGGTTGGGGGTTTTGTTTGTTTCCTTGCCAACTGGATGCAGTGTAGAGTTATCTGGGAGGAGGAACCCCAGTTGAGGAGATGCCTCCATAAAGCTGGCCTGTAGACATGCCACCGGGCATTTTCAGGATTAATGATTGATGTGGGAGGGCCCAGCTGACTGTGGGCGGCGCCACCCCTAGGCAGGGGTTCCTGAACAGGATGAGAGGAGAAATCCAGCTGAACAAACAAGAAAATATGTGTGTGT